GCAAGCCCAGGAAGCTCAGTGGCTTAGACCACAGTGCTACCAATTTGGGATCCGGCCTGCCTGACCAAGATGGTCTCCCACCCCTTGTGTAGACAATACTAAGCTAGATGGGCCAGTGGCGTGACATGCTATAAGGCAGTTTCTATATCCCCAACATCAGACAGGGATGGGGAGACTATGGTCCTGCAGCTGTAACTGGACTACAATTCCCATTGCCCTGGGTGATGGGCCACCCTGGCAATGTTGCTTCGGATTAATGGCTGTCAGTAGTGAAGCAACATCTGAGCCATTCCTTAAGAGTAACATCCTCTCTTACAATAGAAAAATTCTTCAGGGAGGACCCACTGGAAGTAATTTACAATTTACAAGTGGGGCACAAGCCACGGGACTGAAATGAAATGACAAGCTCCAGCACGGCTCCTGTTTATATCAGTTGGGATTTATGTGTCATCAAATCTGCTTGGCTGGCTGACAGTGGTACTGTAATTAAGTAGAATTAAGAATATATTTTTTTGTCCTTTCCCTTCTAAAGCACTTTCATTGGATTACAAGGATGTCACACAGTTGATTTATGAAACCAGTTGTGCAAGGCTTGTCTTTAATGGAAGGAAACTGAAAATGCTTGCTTCCTTTAGGCCTGCTACATTGAGCAGTAGAAGTTGTGAGTATTCTGCCTCTAATAAGTGTTGCAGATTATCAACCGACTGAATAGCAACGTTTATCTACCACTCACCAGAAGAATCTGCACTGGAAGCTGGGTTTGGCACAAAGCTGCTGAGCCCAAACATGGAAGTTTCTCGGGCTTTGATTTGCAATGTAGCAAAACTGTACGTAGCTGGAAATTCTGCAGATTGAATACTGCAAATATGGCCTGTGGTGTAAGCCAACTGTGTCCTTAGGGGGGGCCAAGGGTCATAGTGACCCCAAGACAACCCTCTAAGGTGGGAAACCTTTTTGGCTCCACTGGCCACATGTGACAGATGCAAACCTCTTTGCGATGAGACAGTTGCTGAAATGCAGCGGGGGGGGGGGACTTGCCTTGCTGCCTGCTATGTTCTTTGAAGATACAGTCAAACTGAGCTGGTTTGGCTTCACCAGGGAGTTTCCTCTCTGGGATCCAAGGCATTCTGCAGTTCTTCTCCTGTCTCCATCTCTCCTGTCTCTGGCTGCCTGGTCTCTTCCTCCCGTCTTCCCTCTTCCACCACCGGCAGCTGACTCACGAGGAGCACAGCACCCCACCAGTCATTGGTCCCTTCCCCTGGATCATCTTCCACTGCACCTGCTTCCTCTGCCTACAAATCCCTCCACTCCTTGGCTCCTGCTCATCCCTACCTAACACCTGTGGTTCGCCAATGAACTCTGAACCTACACGTAAATCAGGTGGCCCAACCAGCTTCAAACCATTGCTTGATATCCTAGTTTGTCCACACCACGCTGACATTGGTTCAAGCCTAAGAAGAAATGATTGTTTGGGCTTTGCAAGCCAATAATATGTGAATGTGATGCCCAGATGCGGCTGCAGTTAGCATAGTTGTAATGCTAAACCACAGTTAAATGAGACCAGGGAAGAAAGCAAAGGAATTCAAACCAAGGAGAGGGGCAGGAGATATGCCTGTCCCCGGCCTATGTAAAGACCACTGAGATGATTCCTCACATCTGGAGTATGCGGAAGGGCAAAGGAATGGGAGTCACGCAATTCCTGCACGTGCATAATGCAGAACAGCCCCGTTAACCTGACATTTACTGTCAAATGAGGCAGAGGGGATAACAGCACAGGAAAGGCAGCAGAGTCAAGGCAACCAGCCATAAGCAACGCACTGCAGTCCCGGTTTGAGGGTGGTTCTATTTTGAGTTATCTGCGTTGACCATGTGGCCTGAGCTGTAGAAAAAACTGCTCGACAGAGGGCCTGAAAAACATAAGCACGTCAGCGTTACAAGAAGCTGGGGAGGAAAAGAGCAGCGCACAATTCAAGCTGGAGGCTTCTGTTTGGGGGAAGAAGCATGCTGTAAATCAAAACAGTGGAGAAAGGGCTCTTCACAAACCTCTTCCTTGGAAAGGAAAACAGCAACCTGCACCACAATCTGTCAATACAATGTCTCTGTATTTACTGTGCATATTCCTTCAAATCGTGGAACACCAGTGCATTATGTTGACTCATTCATGCATACCAGTAGCCATCAACTGTACACAAGGCAAGCTTTGAATATACAAAATCATTCTAGGCTGGCACTTTGCTGAGGCTTAGTTAAAGAGACCACTTACATGATTAATGCTGCAAGATAAGTGATGTTGCACAACTTCCAGAATTCACATTTGGCAAGGCTTACAAGAATGCAGTTTTGCTATCACTCTCCCAGAAGAGTGAGTGATTCAAAGAATGCAATGTGCTACGTTCTGGAAAAGTCTGTCCTTGGTACCCTGTACATGTTTGTTCATCTTTATTCCAGTGAAACATCCAGAATAGCTTGTACCACTATGCATTTTGCTGCAGAATAATGACTGAAGTTGACTCAACTTTCTTCTTTTAGAAAAGTTCTGCTGCCTTCATTCTAGAGATTTTTAAAAATAAAAATCAAGACTCATTCATATTGATGAAGCACTTCTGCCCAAAAGTGAATTTGGTGGCAGATCAGAGATTACTTTATGGTGAATTTATCCACAGAACCTATAGAATGAATTATTATGACATGCTTCTAATGGCCCTGGAAACATTCTAATGCTCAGCATGACAGCACAGAAAGACTTCACTTGTAAAACAAACAAGCAAACAAGCCAACAAACCAGTGAGTTCCCAAAAGCCTGTTGGAATAAAACAATAATTCATCAACCAACAATTTGCTGCCCTTTCATGACACCAAAAATCTGTTGCCTCAGGCTGCCACCTCACTCAGGCCTTTGCAAGTGACATAGGCTCTAACACAGAGCCAAGCTCCCTGATTTCAATGTTTCCAAGCTTGCCTTGTCCTGTGCTGGACTGTAGCCATACGACAGAGTTCATCAAGTATGTTCTGAAAAGGAAACTTATTTTTAGGAAAGACAAAAAGACATTCCAACTGTATTAACGGAAGCCTGTTTTAGGATATACTCATCTATTTCTGCTTTTACCAACTTTCCTGCCTTATCAACATGAAACCCGGCATTTCCCAATTTTATTTTGTTATCTGCCAAATAGGCCTCAAGCTAAAGTTTGTCCTGAGGAAACCAGAAGCAGTGATAAGACTAGTACTTGGTGAGAACGTGTGATGTCTCTCAGCAATTCTTCCATTTACAGGAAGCATTTTTCATATTACTATAATAGTTTTTCCAAAAACATGCACCCATTAAGATAGCCAAGGATGGCTAAAGAAAAGAAAATGCTCAATAAGTCAAAGACAAAACCCAGCTAATGCCTAAATTCAAAACTTTTATCAAATTAAACAAATGCCAACACAGCTCATGGCTCCTTCAACAGTTGGGACAGGAGAGAAGAATTAAGTACAGACATTTTTCTACTACTGAAGTACTGCAATGGAAGAAACTGCACCTAATAACATCTTCCCTATAACACAAAATGTCTATAGGCAACGGATTCCATGTCCTTTAGGAAACATTCAAGATCACAAAAAGAAGACCTCAAACCCAGCAGCCTTCTTCAGCAAGTTTCAAAGGTGATTATGGGGTGCGGCACTCATCTCGCTTAAGGCTGAAGGAGCTGGTGTTTGTCTAGACAGCTTTCCGGGTAATGTGGCCAGGACAACTTCTGTCACAACGGGTCACTGTGACAAGTGCTGGAGCACACAGAAACACCATTTACTTTCCTGCCACAGTGGTACTTATTTATCTGCTTGCATTGGTATGCTTTCGAATTGCTAGGTTGGCAGAAGCTGGGACAGAGCAACGGGAACTCACTCCATTGCGGGGATTCGAGCTGCCAACCCTCCGTTCAGCAAGCGCAAGAGGCTCAGTGGTTTAGACCACAGCCTCACAACAACCCTGTGAAATAGGTTAGGGCCGAGAGTGTGTGAATGGCTCAGTGAGTTTCACTGGCTGAGCAGGGATTTGAACCCTGGTCTCCCAGGTCCTGGCCAAACATTCTAACCGCTACACCATACTGGCTCTAAACTCCTTCAATGAGCAGGTGGGGAATATAGTCTGCTTTGGTAACAAAAGCCTTCTTCAGGCATTCTGAACAGGGCTTAAGGAAACATGCAAGGAGGAGACAGCATACACAAACTTCCATCCTTCATACTGCTGCACTACACATGTTTAGTGACTGTCTTCAATGGGGAAGACTCCTGTATTTGAAGAGGCTCTCAGGTGTTTTGAAACTCTTATTTTCTAGCGTTTCAAAAGGCACCACAGCCTCCACAAGTACAGGGGACTTACTAGCTGTAGACAGTCACTGGGGAACATGTGGAGGGCAATGGTTACAGGAATGGCAGAAAGGACCTAGTGCATTTGTGAACACACTTTCCTCCTTGCAGGTTGACTATTCAGAATGCCCCAAAAGGCTAAACACAGTACCAGCTAAGCCATCCTACTCAACTTCCTCTCCTTATAAATATCTCAGCTCCTAGTTCAAGAAACATAGGTGGCAGTTATTCCAGATTAATTAATCCACAATTAAAAATGCAATCTTTCTTTTTAAACTGACAAGCATCCTAACTACCCACCACCATTTTTAGATTTTAACAGTTTTTCTGCCAGACAAATTTAGGGCAGGGGCTGAGCTAGACAATCTTCAAGTATATTTCAGACTTATGACCCTCAAAGATAAAATGACCCCCTGGATCCAATGTGGGCTACATAAAATAATCCCTAAAAAGCAGTCTAATATTTGTGTGCCAGGAGAGATTCTGCCTTTTCTTTCGCAAACTCTTATTAAAGCACTGCCTAAGTACACCACTGGTTGCTTGGTGATACTGATGCTTTATGATGTCACTGTTGTCATAGAAACCAATTGTCCTCACAAGTGAAAATCCCATCTGCCACTAGAAGAGCATGGGAAGCTAAGAGAGGAGGCAACACCTTGAGTCTGGCAGGATCAAAGCTGCTCAACTAAAACACCATCACCACCGCTCTATGGCCCTGGGGACAGCTCCACCCTAAAACAACAGATATGGCACATGAAATCGACTGGTTGCGCAGTCAGGCAGCCGTATGCAAAGTAAACCACTACTGCCCTGAAGGACAGAAAGACCAGGATCGCAAAATGATCTGTTTTGTTGATGTATCCAGCTTAAATATGAAGGACAAATGTCAGAGAGGAGGAGGATACAATCATCTTGACTTGGCGAGTTTGGAGGATAAAGAAGTTATTGTAATAAAAGACAACGAGCGAAACAATCCTAATAATACGGAAGGTGCGGTCTGCCTTTTCAAGCAAGGCTCCTCTGAGGAACTCAATGTTGTGAGCTGGCTGAGCAACGACCTTCAGAAATACGCAATTGGATTTCAGCATGCACTGAAACCTGCAAGTGGTTCTCGTAAAACTCAGCCCTACACCATCTCATCCGACAAACTGATCCCTACTACCCCTGGTCCAAGGGGAAGCTCAGATGAACCTTCATATGTCAATAAACTCTGCTCCCTGGTTGTTCAAAAAGCACGTCAGGAGATCAAGGATAAACTGGAATGTAGCGGCATGCGCCAGCCCTCTACTGCTGACCGTAAGGTTTCAACTCCGGCATCCCCTGATAGCTGTTCAGAAAAGCCGTGGTCCCTGGATTTGCATGCAAAAGACATTTTCGGCATGGCATTGAAGATGATACAGCAACACTTAGTGGAAAAAAACAGGGAAGCTGTCCGTGAGTCACATTCCACTACCCCAAGCTACACTCACAGGGAGTCCGCTAATTATGACCGGGCTGGAGCATGTCAAAGACCCATATCTACCCCAGTGGCAGGTGGGTTACAAGATCCTCACCATGAACCAAAGCCAGGTATATCAGGGATCCTTTTGTCACTCGTCCAAAAGGTCTTGCGCGATGCTGCTTCAAGTATCGAGGACAGCGTCTGCGATGGGCACCGGGCTTATAAGCCACCCCCCACTTCGTAAATCAGGCTCAGGAGGGAAAAGGCCTTATCAAAAACAGACTAATGGAAGACGGGATATGTATGGCAATATGGATCAGATAAGCAAACAATTTATTGACCAGTTGGTGTGATCTGTGATGAAGTTGAGTCCATTCCTAGCCAAGGCAACCAGTGGTTCCAATTTAGTGACTGGTGACATCTCAAGAGAAGTGCAACTGTCACAATTGCTCATCATAAACCTCAGAAGGGCAAAAAAAGAAGAAGACGACCTTTCTCCTGTGGGGGAAATCTGACAGGAGGCAACTGGGTCTAATCCATTCTGGGCACAATGGTTAACACACATAACCAGAAGGTCAATGTTTTATAGAGAGTTCAAGGTTATGCCTCCTCCCGCACAGTTAATGGTTGCTTCTTAACTTGCTGCCCAAACTGAGGTTGACAAAACAAGAACGATGGAGAATTGTCTGGGAAGAGCTATAGCAAGGGGGATATATGGAAAGAGTTGCTGAGCTACACCGGAAAACAACAGATGGATGCCACCGTGGGAAAGACACTCAACTGGCTCCTTGCTACCATGGCAGGAGCCAACTTGTCCCTCTCTTATTGCTTCAGCCCAGCCTAGGCACCTAACCCACTCTTCTTTGGAACAACAACTGCCACTATTATTTAAAAACAACAACACCAACCAACAACAGCAGACACAGTGAATTCAACTGGTAGATAAAATTGTAGCTGGGCAAGATCATCAATTAAAAACATTGTAAAAAGTGAAAGCCGAAGGAGACTCTTTTGTTAATCCACTGGACAGGTTCCCCCCGGCCAGGTGCTACTACACAGGTTCTCCGTGAGCTTAGAATGCTGCTTTAAGAAAGCCAAGGTTCTCCAGCTGGAAGGTGCTATTCAAAACCAGGCAAATTAAGGATGCTTTTGCTTAATTTGCTTTCTGTCAATGACCATGAAATGCTTGTTTTGCAGAACTTGGATGAGGTTTTGGGCAGTAATTAGGAAACAGGGCTTAACTTCTAGAGGAGTAACATATAGGGAAAAGGGGACATAGAGGGACAGACTAGGGGCAAAATTCACCTTCATATCACAGGATCTCTTACTGCCTTCCTAATTTAACTTTCTCAACATATCCATTATTTATTGCTAAGAATGAGAATACATCTTATTTCCAAGATTTGGCAGGGCGGGGAAAGCCACATTGTGGAGTGTGGTCATAGCCATGCATGCTAACTTCTAGACCAATTGATCTTAAATACTTTTTAATGGCTCAAGAGCATGGGCTTGTTCACCGAACATCTTCAAAGTGATCCCACCAAATGATCACAAAACACATCACCTTTTAACTCAGGTTGCATTTTGGGGTATTTTCCAAGACAGTAGATAAGGAAGACACCACCAATACTCTTATGTGTGAAACTCACGGGCTCCTGGTATCAGGTGGCAAGGCAATGGGAGGTTTCATCACTGAAATGGGGCTGGGAAGGTGCACAGACTTTTTAGGTAGTAGAGGGAAGCAGAATTGTGACTTAGGTAGTAGAGGAAAGCAGAATTGTGCAAAATCCAATTAGTACATTTCAGGAGGAGGCTGCTATGCGCCTCTTGGAGCCAACAGTGCCACACAACTGCTGGAATAATCCCCACTCACCACTGCAGCTCCAAGGCTGGGAGGAAAGCTGGAAACACCCGAGGGCATTCTCTCTCACACACATACACAATGGCAACAAGCACAATCGTGGTGACCAGGAGAGCATCTCCTTTAATGACGAAGTATGATAAGGTTTTTAAACAAGTTTTTAAAAGGTGTGAACCATTTATGAAAAGTCATTTCAGGTTGCGCATTGCCGTCACTCCCGTGTGCAGAAAAAAAAGTGCTCAATGGCTAGCTTGTACTAGGTGAGCCACCTGTAACAGGAATGAGGACAAGCGCCAGTGGACTACAGAAACTGATGAAGAGCTACATTTTGGTATGCAGACCCTGTTTCAGTTGTATGAGTGAATGTGGATGATTTTCTGAACAATTCTCATCTCTGTAGGTAGTAAAGGTCATAGGGAGGGTAACAAACATGGAATGTAGCAGGCCCACAACTCACACAGGGTCTATGTTCCAGGGATTGCACTTAAAGCCAAAACTGCGTATAGTCAAAACCCATTGGGTTCAATAGTGAGTGGGATTGGCAAAGTCATTTCCCCCAGAACCCTACACCTTTCTCACCCCCTTTTAATTTTTTGGGTAAAGCTGAATGCATGTAAGTTAAAAGCATGCAAGTTGCAGACTTACTGTCCCCCCCCCCTTTTTTGGGCTGTACATTGTGAGGTATCTTTGACAACATTTTATTCAATGACATACTGCATGAATGTCTGGGGTTTTTTTTAACCCAAACGAAAAAGCAATGTATTTTATCACCCAGTCCACAGATCTTTTTCTACTACAGCTATATCCAGGCACTATAATTGTTAATGTCATTATCCAAAGCCGCCCACGGTCTTAAGATTTAGCATTTATGGGTATTCCAAGTGCTGCTGTACAGGCTGATGGAAGTCATAGTCCAAAGCATTTGCAGGGCGCTGGCCTAGGGAAGGCTGCATCATATAACCACAATACAGACTATAAAGGGACACATCAACAAGGCACAATTCAGCAATTTGAATCCCCACTGCATGCCCCATCCTTTAGCTCTCCCCATAGTATTTTGGGGAGTGGCTCATCACAAAAGCAGGTTCTTTTTTTTTAGTTCAGATAGGAATTTTCTGTTAAACAAGAAATGATTGCACATCATCTGTGTTTGTATGCCGTCCAGGAAATACTTCATATGTTAGCTATGTCAGCTGCTATAATCCTATAGGAGATATTTAGTTCTTTGGAACCTGGTAACAGAAATACTAAGGCTGGGATATTCTTAAATCTACTCTTTTGGTAACAATTTAATTTGGGATTTGAAATTAGCATGAACTCTACCAGAAGAGGGGAGAAATTAGCTTGTTTAGTATGCTTTATACTTAAAAGGAAATTGGTTGTTTCGACTCCTGGCTGACCTAAAGTATACTTGTCAGTATTTAGCAGCATGATCTGCTTCCCTCGTGAACTGCTTCAACTGAATGAATGGAAAAAGTATCTACAGTACATCTTGAGAGGGCTGCTGCATCTCGCTATCTCTATGAATACCTCATATATGCTTGCCAACAGATCCATAATTCTGCTATACTTTTCAGATATGACAGAAAGGCAGAATGATTTTGAATGGCCCCTTGTCAGTTGCAAAAGATATTTCTGCTTTTTGTGCAGGTCACACACACAGCCATGTTGCCTAGACATCCCAAGGAGGATCATAGAACCATAGAACTGTAGAGTGGGAAGGGACCCTGAGAGCCATCTAGTCTAGCCCCTTGCAATTCTCTACTTTCTCAACACTTGTGTGCTACCAAATGGCCAGCAAAAGAAGGGTCTGAGACCTGTGCAACCCTCTCTTTCTCCCCAGCAAGTATGGGGCATCTGTGGCTCTCCAGATTATGCTGGGCTTCAACTCCCATCAATTCCCCAGTCTGCATGGCCAGTTGTCAGGGATTAAAGGAGCTGGACTACAATAAAGTGGTACCTTGGGTTACATACGCTTCAGGTTACAGACTCTGCTAACCCAGAAATAGTGCTTCAGGTTAAGAACTTTGCTTCAGGATGAGAACAGAAATCGTGCTCCGGCGGTGTGGCGGCAGCAGGAGGCCCCATTAGCTAAAGTGGTGCTTTAGGTTAAGAACAGTTTCAGGTTAAGAAAAGACCTCCGGAACGAATTAAGTACTTAACCCGAGGTACCACTGTAGAGGCTTGGAGGGCTACTAGTGTCCCAGACAACACAGATTCTAAAATTCTGTTCTAGTATATTTCTTTGGGTCAGGGACTTCCCCTGCAAATGTAAAATGCTTGTTCAAAAAGAAAAAAAGAAAAGAAAAAAGAAAATAAGGGATGCAACTGCGGAGAATGGGATGGGCGTACCAATAGACAAGGGATCAAACACATTGAGCTTTACATTCCCAGCAGAAGCCTCTTCAGGAGCACCTAAGAAGTCTTGTTATCCTAAACATCATTTAGCCAGGATTCCCTTTGATACATACTTATGGCTGAACTGGGGATTCCAACCCGTTTCAGCAACTGGAAGACTATGGATGGCTGCAGATCTTCTACATTAATTCAAAAAGGAGCAATTTTGTGTATCCAGTAAAAAAAGAAAAAAGAAAAGAAAGCACAGAATGCAAGGTTGTAAAGCTACTGTCATGAATCCCATGGAGGATACATCATGGAAAGGACGGTTGGATTGTAAGGAAGAATGGGCAGAGCTCAGGGATATGGAGATTGATGCCCATGGGAGCGTGGTAGGAGGATGGGGAAAGCGAAAAAGGCAACTCCAGAAGCCTCTGACCTTGGTGTGGGGGGGGGAGGAGTCTAGGGAATGGAGAACGGGATCAGGGGAGGAACTAAGCAGGTTGGCAGAGGAGTGTTCCACCACGGTGACACCCTGAGTCAGATACCTCCTGCTGTGAAGTGGGCCTGGCGCATCCCTCCTGTCAGTGAAGAGCTTCCACCTTTGTGGAAGGTGAGAGAGTGAAATTGGATGCTTAACTGGCACAGAGACCATCTCCAAGGACATGGAGACACCAGCAGTAGCATGAACAAGCCTCACAGAACCAACTCATTCGAAGGAGTGCCTGTTTGCAGGCCAAGTCCCAGGACACTGGCTGCTTGCCATGCTGTGTCCACCTCGCTCTTCAAAAGGAAAGTGAGAGAGGCATATCACTTGTTGAATCAATATAGTTTGCACTTAGCCATCTATCTATACCTCTGATGTACCTGCTGCAGCTTTTAACCTGTGTATTTCCTATGTAACAATAGACTCACAGCATTGTAGAATTGGAAGGGACCCCGAGGGTCATCCAGTCCAACCCCGTGCCAAGCAGGTTTAAGCAGAAAACCTTTACACAGTACTTGACCTAGCCCTCGCTGCAGGACAAAGAACTCTTGACTCTTAGCTTGGTTTCTGCCAAACATTCAGGAAAAAAATCACTCCCCTCACACCAGACAAACACGATCAATTAGCACAAATGGTGAAGCCCATAGGTGCTGGAATACCAAAATGAGGTGGAATCTGACCTCTTGGGTCATGCAGAAAGACGGAGGACTGGGGTTGGAACGGCTCACACTTCCTCTAACAATTGCTCATGGTTCTGCAGGGGAACTTGCTTCACCCCTAGAAGCTCCTAGCACAAAGGTTTGCGTGTATTGACTTGAGCAGGTCTGAGAAATCACATTCCAAGTACTGAATCAGGACTGTCTTGCTTCACTGCTTGTCTTCTTCATTTCAGGTTATTGTGTGGGTGACTCCTTCTTAGCGTATCCTACCAACATCAGGTAACTGACACAATATATCCCATGTATTGTGCAAATGTCTGAAACAGTGTCCCCACACCACACTGCAAACCATCTTGGGAGATCTTGAAATAAAGCAACCCACGTAACTAAGTGAGCAACATATACATTTCCCCTAGTGCAGAGAACAAATGAATTCCCTTTGTCCAGTGTTCGATTCTGAGAAGTGCCTGCAGCCCTGCACAAGACTGTTCCCTGGTAAAATAAAACCACTGCAAAGCAGAAATACTGTTGTCAGCAAGAAAAACAGGGTTTGTAAAAGTCATCAGGTAGAACAAAAGGCAATTAGGAAAAGCAAGAGGGGTGGAAACT